CCACGATCGGGTACGGGGTTGCTTCTTGGAGGGCACGTCCTTGGAGGGTGCTTTTCTGGGCCTGGCGAGCCGCCCCCAACTCGAGCACGCGGGTCCACTCGCCGTCGGTGTCGTCCAAGAACCCGATGTCACGGAGGGCTAAGTCCGCCACTTGGGCATCGGTCATCCACTCGGAGTGGTCGGCTGAGAGCCGAATGAGGCGCTTGCCGTCATGTTCGCTGGAGGCAAAAGCGACGGCGGCGACGGAAGCGGAGAGGAGGGCGAACTTCATGGTACGAACGTAATAAAAATGAAAATGACAACAGATACCAAGTTGACACGGTTGTTTGGGGAACTACTGTATTGGTTTACGATACCTAACAACTGAAATGCAGAATAATTCCCTCATTAAAACGTTCTCTTGTTGTTCTGACCCAAAATACTGCTTCGATGAGGGAGTTATCGTAATCAGATACATTTTTTAGCTCGTAACCCTGTTACCAGGGACTGCGTTCTACCCCCGATGTGCACGTATAATGCTAAATCAATTGCATCACAAGTGGTTAGATATCGCTAACCTGGTGAGAGACCAGAGAATAGTAGTAAGTCCCATGGAAACACGCAAATTGCAGTGTTTTCCGAGAAAAACAATAGTGCTACTGTTATGATGAGGGAATTTACCTGACATGCGCTTATTTATAGTACTAGTACAGTTAACTATGTGTTGATACACTGCATTTGCCATAATAAGAACAAGTGAAGCGATAAAACCGCAAGGAATTACTGGGTGCTTGGGATACACATCCTGGATTCGTCCACCAGCGGTTAGCTATCACTATCAGTGTCTAGCTATCACTAACCTGATATGTTAGTACCCCTACTATCTGCATTCCTCTCGTTTTACTGGTTCATCCAATCTGATTTTAGGCTTGTTTCTTATATTTTCATTAACCGGAAAGTTTTGAAAAATTCCGGTTTGCTATGTGGATATTCTGTGTCTTGTCAGTGTGAGTCAATAGCAGCCACATTGCATATCAGGTCGAAGTTCAAGTCGAAGTTCCGATTTTGATACTGCTACTGCTAGGTACGATAAAAAATATAATTTGGAAGCGGAGACATGATGGAAGTATAGGAAACATAACCCAAAGAAAGGTTCGATGCACCAGTAGTAAGAGCGGAATGCAGTACTAGTACGTGCAGTACATATACTTGAGGTTAAGTTCATCTCAGTGGTTAGTGATTGGTGGATGAATCCAGGATATTGTATCCCACCAGTAATTCCCTGCGACGTTGCCCGGTATCATTGGGGGTAGGACGCAGTCCCAGGTTACAGGGACTGCGTCATTTGTTCGCATTATTATGAAGTAATACGAATAATATTACAATGAAGTAATACGAACAAATGACGCAGTCCCTGTAACCTGGGACTGCGTCCTACCCCTGATGAACACGTATGATGCTAACATGTAATCAATTGCATCACCAATGGTTTGATATCGCTAACCACTGAGATGCACCCCTAGTAAGAGGTGAGGTGGTCCCATGTTAACACACAAGTTGCAGTGTTTTCTGTGAGTAAAGCAACAGTGTTGGCTGTAAAAATTATCGAACTTCGTAGTGTGTGGGGTGTGTCATTAACCGGATAGCTTTGAAAAGTCCTGGTTATCTAAGTTGCCTTGTCAGTCTGTGAGTCAATAGCAGCCACATTTCATATCAGGTCGAAGTTCAAGTCCAAGTTCCGAATTTGATACTCTTGATACCAAAATTTAGTAACACGTAATACTTGTAGAAGTATATATAGTTCATCCGATGTTGCTCAAGCAGTTGAATTATTAAATTACTGCTATCGAAGTTCAAATCTTGATGACCTCCATCAAAAACTACCCTGATTGGCTGCAAAAACAATCCAAATTTGTAGTCCGTGAGCCAATAAGCAGGCACATTTCATACCACGTCGTGAAAGTCGCTTCTGTCTCATGGAAAATATAAGAAACAAGCCTAAAATCAGATTGGATGAACCAGTAAAACGAGAGGAATGCAGATAGTAGGGGTACTAACATATCAGGTTAGTGATAGCTAGACACTGATAGTGATAGCTAACCGCTGGTGGACGAATCCAGGATGTGTATCCCAAGCACCCAGTAATTCCTTGCGGTTTTATCGCTTCACTTGTTCTTATTATGGCAAATGCAGTGTATCAACACATAGTTAACTGTACTATAAATAAGCGCATGTCAGGTAAATTCCCTCATCATAACAGTAGCACTATTGTTTTTCTCGGAAAACACTGCAATTTGCGTGTTTCCATGGGACTTACTACTATTCTCTGGTCTCTCACCAGGTTAGCGATATCTAACCACTTGTGATGCAATTGATTTAGCATTATACGTGCACATCGGGGGTAGAACGCAGTCCCTGGTAACAGGGTTACGAGCTAAAAAATGTATCTGATTACGATAACTCCCTCATCGAAGCAGTATTTTGGGTCAGAACAACAAGAGAACGTTTTAATGAGGGAATTATTCTGCATTTCAGTTGTTAGGTATCGTAAACCAATACAGTAGTTCCCCAAACAACCGTGTCAACTTGGTATCTGTTGTCATTTTCATTTTTATTACGTTCGTACCATGAAGTTCGCCCTCCTCTCCGC